AGCTTGCNCAGCAAGCTGCAGAATGCAGGCAGAGGTAGCTGACCAAGCTGATATGCAGCCTAGAAGACGTGCACCACCGCGGTGCAGCAACTGCAATATTCAAGGTCATACTAGGGTCAGCTGCCCTAGTAAATAGGCAATTATTTTACATGTAAATAGCTTCAATTTAGGGGTGGTGTGGTGAGATAATTGGATATCTAATAATAATGGCGTTGGTGGGTGTTTCGCTCGGTGATTGATTACGTTATAGAATTTATATTATTAATATAAAAATATATTAATAGTTATTTACCTTAGTACCTTTAAATATTTTATTTAAACCTACATAACTACAAGAGCTAAACTATATTTACTATACTGATTTAGCCTTTTTATATAATATCTAAGGTTATTATTAATTATTATATATAGGTACTATATCAATAATACACCTGAACCTGACACTGCAAGGCTATATATATAATATTTGACACCCTTTATATAAGTGGCTAAAAATATATATTTCTATTATATTACCCCCTAATACATAACTCTACCCCCTTTATAACTACTATTAAGACTAATAATATATTACTATAATAGGTAATACATTAAAGATGCTAGAACTAGAGTTTTAAAGACCATAAAATAAAAATTAAATATTATATATAAAAACTATATCTAATATTAAATATAATTTTTCGTTTTTTTAGATTATGAGTATAATTTTCTACTTTAAAAGTAATATTTAATAAAATTAAGTTTTTAGATATTTTTTAAAAAGCTTATATTTAAACCTAATAAAAAATTAATTATAGCTAATTGTTAAAATTAACTAAGCTAAATTAATTTTTAAAAAATATTAATAATTATTAATTATTATATTACAGTAAAGAGTATTTAATAATATTTTTTATTTTTTTAATATTAACTTTTAACCTTAAAAAGATTAATAAAGTAAAAATGTTCAAAGGATATTTATATTAATAAAAAAATTACTTATCTTCTTTTTTAAAAGGTTATATTATTATATATCTATAAATTAGGAAGTGGCACATAGGAGCTAATGATTAAGCAAGAACCCTACTACCTAGTCTAACCCATAGAACCAGGCTTACTAGGCATAGATTATCTAATCATGCTTATTAAGCCACCTCTCCTATCCTGACTCCCTTTTTTTTTTCTGTTCTTTCTCTCATTTCTTTGTCTTTGTTAAATCCACCTATACCTACTGTTCCTTAACATTTGATTCTTACATTATACTACAGCCTGTCTCTCATTCCCTATTTCTGTCCCTCATAGAAGGTTCCCACTGTTGACTGGTCTATAGCATAACCCACCTGTATATAGATACTAGCTACTAAGCCCTACTGCCTAGGTGGTAGGCAGAGCGTGCATAGTCTCTGACTGAAAAACGCTCTCTAAAATGGAAGAATAATAATAATAATAATACTAAGGGACGCAAAACTACGACTCAAACTAAAGAAGTGCGAATTTCATGTGCAAGAGACTGATTTCCTGGGACATCGAATCACCACAGAGGGAATCCAAACCGACAAAAATAAGGTCCAAGCAATTCTGGAATGGCCAAAACCGACAAATGTGAAGGAGTTACAATCATTCATTGGATTGATCAACAATTATCGACAATACATTGAGGGATACGCCAAGGTCATGAAACCCTTATTTGATTTACTAAGAAAGGACAAATCCTACGAATGGACATCAGAACAACAGCAAGCATTTGAAGAAGCAAAAAGGCGAATCACTACAGCACCAATTCTGGCACAGCATGATCCAGAGAAACCAACAACAATTGAAATAGATGCATCAGATTATGCAATCGGGGCATGAATGACACAACCTGGATCAGATGGAAAACTAAAACCCATCGCATTCTACTCGAGAAAATTAACACTGGCTGAACTCAATGAGAGAGGTCGTTGGAGGAAGAGCCCTTCGCCTGTTAGGCCGTTGTCTCAAGGAGAGGAGACCTGGGTCGGTTAGACTGTCGCGTGCTCGTGAACAGCATAGAGTCAGAAAGACTCCTTGATCCTTCCCTAACCACCATTGTTAAGTATCGACGACTACGGTTGGACCCAGCGCGTAACATCAGCTTGAATACAGACCACATGGTTCAAGTTTGCCGTAGCGTTGAATTCGATCAATTCCGGTAAAGAACATATATAGTTCGTATCCGTTCGTGAAGGATATAGATTGATTCTTCGCCGGTTGAATGGTTGATTGCGGCATCTTCATCTTCTTTAGCTGTCTGGTTGGCCATGAGGGTGATTGTATTCATTGTGTAAGCATGTATGTAGTTTATAAATCCTGCGCCATACTTGCAACTATCATATTACTTTATTCCGTGTATCTTTCTATATATATGTATGTAAATGAATCTATAAAAAAAATCCGGATTTGGCGTTCCTTCTGGTGGACCCGAGTACATCAAGGCTCGGTCAGAAACCAAACACTGAGTAACGAATAACTTGCCAGCTCTTGCTAGTATACGTTTTCATTAACTTGTCATTTACTTGACCATAATTATACGAATAAGGCTAGATGTTGTCAGAGCTGCAAATGAAAGGCGACGAGTCTCGTTCAAGATGTTTAGCTAGGACGTCAGAAGGGCAAGATATCTATTTGCGTACTTGTGGCTGTCCCCAGAATATGCTGGCTATCTACCCACATATATCAGGACTCGCAACCAAAAAAAGGCAAATATCGAATGATTATAAAAGCATACTTAATTAATTAGCATTATCATCAGATTCCGCATGTGTCGGACTCGATTGTTGAAGATCATTCAGGTCTCAGGGTCAATATAACATTAAGCTTCTGCAGTCTCTTTATTTATTTTCTTTTTTCCCTCTGGTTATCCTCCCTTCTTTTAAAAACACGCATTTACCAGCCAAGGCATCGTGGTCTGATCCACGGCGGGAACTTCGGGCGTCGTCCCCCGCGGCCCCTCCACGAAAGCAAAAGCATCCAGCGAATCCAAACAGTGTTTGACATGCTTGTAATCCAGATCTCGGGGGCACACATGCCTTCCCGTCTCTCTCGCCTGCCAGTACCGTCTCAGCGCCAGGATGCAATGAGCCGGATGAAAGNGCTGGTCAATCGGGATCNCGACCGCGAAAGGNTTCNCGTAGAATGATCGATTCAGATAA